TTCGGATTTTCTAAAATTACAGAGACAGAAGCGTCGGCCTACAAAAGCGATCGGCGAAATAAATTTTTTTAGCTTTTTGCAGCAAAACTATCTCAAAACTGAAAAAACCAAGGGCGCCATGCTTTGGAGAATATTTTAAAGATTTTTTTTTGCGAAAACCGCATATCGATCGATGCAGCCATTAAAAAGCCTTTTGAATAGCAAAATTCGGCCACCACAAATAGATAATAGATATAGTGCGGTCAAAAATCCGTGGTGCATCCAAAGATAGTACTTGACAAGGTAGTCCACTCCTCTCTTTGAGCCAATTAAAAAAAGGGTCCTCAAAATCCGGTGGCGCCCTCTTCGAAAAAGCGCACCCTTTGCGAACGGAGTTGCACTACTTGAGTGAAAAAGAATCAAAGTGAAAATACCAAGTTTTTGAATGAATTAGAATTCAAATTTCGGAAGAACGCTTATTTAAAATGTTTACCTGTCCCCGTCGTTTTATGCAAGAAAAATTATGAAATTATGCAAACTGAGCCCAAAAATGTGAAATTATGCGATTCAGTTAATTTTAACAAAGAATGATACAGAACAATCATTAGAAATTATGCAACAAAAGAAAAATCAAATTTAATTAAATTATGCGGGGTGCATAAAACCACGGGGACAGGGTTACGCTGACAAAAAAGATGTCTTCTGGTGGAAGAGGCGACTGTTTTCTTCGTTTAATTTGACTTTAGAATGAAAGTCGAGAGGTCATTAAAAAAACAACAAGCTAAAACTCCACACTGAACAAACCCGAACATTTGATGAACAGCAGTCGATTTGCGCACGCAAGGGGGTGTCATTCCTATTTTTCTTCTGGGGAAACGAAAGGGAGCTTCAAAACAAAGACTGCAGCGTCATCTGAAGCAATGAGCTGACTTCTGCGAACATTTTCTTGGCTGAGTGAACCATCTTATTATGTACTATCTGTGGTGCAACTTATCCTCGAATACCTCTTTAACAGGCGAATCAATGTCACCCATATTTTGCACAGCAGTTTGTATCATATTTTTCCACAACAATTTAGGCTAGATTAAAAAAATCAAAAAACCCTTCTCTTCACAAATTTATATTAAGTACTACAAAATCTCCGTCATGCGTAAAATGGGATTGTTCACAACACTCTCCGCTTCTCGCACACATTTTTCATAATATATACTGCCTACGTCACAACTCATCAATGACACTTTTTATTGGCAAAACTTGCTACAAGAAATTAATTTTATAGAGAACACTCTTTTTGCACAAAATGTTCTCAAAACATGCGTTCAATAAGCATAATGCCCCGATTAGAAAAAAAAAACAATTGACGGACTTGCTTTCAAAATCGATATCGTTCCAGCTGTAAACCTTTTAAAATCTGTGGAGGCATTTTTTTAAAATTAGCATTTATTAAGGAATTTTTAAGAATACAGCTAATAGGTGTTAACAAAAATACTGATAAATTAAGACAAATTGATATGAGTCATTGTGCAAAAGCTTGAGACAAAAATTTAGGAAATATTTAGTCATAAGTTGCGCCACGAATAATTTACTGCACTGTATATAGTCTGCATAATAAGTGCGCGAGAAAAGTAAAACATACAGACAGAAACAGAGGAATCTTAAAGATGTAGCTACTACAAGCGACACCGGCGAATTACCCTGTTTTAGGAGTGCTTCAAAAAGATCTAGATAACAGCATAAAGAACAACATAAATAACAGCAGCAGCAGCAGCAGCAGCAGCAGCAGCAACAGCAGCAGCAGCAGCAGCAGCAGCAGCAGCAGCAGCAACAACAACAACAACAAAAAGCAAGGACAACTAAAACAAATCAGAACAACTATAGGAAAAGAATGATAAAATCCGATCCTCACCATCATCACCAACAAAAATAACAGCAGCAATTACAACAACAGCAACAACAACAGCAACGACAACAACACCACAACGGTGAATGCAACATTTACCCTCATATTCGGTTTTAAAAAAAGTAACAGAGGCCATAAACCGACATTAATTCCACCAAGTCGAGGACAGAATGCCACCAATAATCTTATGTACCGGAACACCAGTATCGGGTTAAACGCGCAAAACAGAACTACCCAAATCATACCAAACTGATTCAGTGACGAATCAAATTTCACCGATTTTGAGAGAGTCGTAATTGAACAGGAAAACAACAACTATTAAACTAATCCTTTCCTCTCTCAAATTTCCCCGAGATTCTTGATCCGGACTGATATCACGACAATATACTGTTACGTCCCTCTCTAATGACAAGAGTCGCCGGTCGCAGGAACGATAAATCGTTACCTTATACGGGGTGCCCACTACTGATGGGATTGGCTGGTCGTGCCGATCGCCCGACTCGGTCGCCTAAAAAACAAACGTGTTTGTTTTCAGTTTCATGCGATTGAGTCGGGTGATCGGCCCATCGGCGACCGATCCCATCAGTAGTGGGCACCCCGTATAAGGTAACGATTTATTTGTTTTCAAACGTGTTTGTTTTCAGTTTCATGCGATCGAGTCGGGTGATCGGTTCGATCCAGCCGTAGTGGGCACCCTGTACAATGTTCTATATGTTCAATGGTTAGTTTTGAGAAATTTGACGTTATAAGTTTTGAGTTTCACAACATGTCAAGCCTTTTCGAATGCAATTCTTTT